TTTTTTCCGGGACGTTGGCGATAGCACACCGTGGGTGACGGCGGACTCGCTCTGAAGCACCAATGGAAAAAAGTCCATTTTTTAAGCAAAATACGATTTTGGTATGTTGAGACAAAATGTGCGCAGCGTCGAACTGAACAAAATTGCCTAAGGTACCAACCATAATTTTAATAACGGTTTGATTGAAAATGAGTTCATTTTAAAAACGTAGTATTTGAAAATCTTGTATATTGGGCCAATATCGGATATTTGATGTGTGGCTAAAGTGTAATGCTGGCCGAGACAAAGAACTTTGCTGAAGTCAAAATTCCAATATTTCTTCTTGTTGGCTTTCAAAAATTGAAAAAACCTCAGAAGTTTACTCGAGAAATTCACATTTTCACGTCGTTTGGGCATATATTGACGTGTGGGACGACTGTTTTCGATTCCTTTTGGTGCTAAATCGATAGCTGTGTTCCTTACAAACATTTTAGATGCTTGGGCAAGTCAATACAACTAAAAGTGTCGACGGACAAGCACCTTGTCCGTCTGTCTGTCCGTTCAGAGCTCTTGAAAATTGTCTTGTCCGTCCGTCCGTCCGATCGACACTGAATGGACGGACGGACGGACAACTAAATTTGGAGGGCTCTAAACGAACGGACGGACGGACAAAAAATTACGTTAAGTCTCCTTTATAATAGGCTGAATAGGTAGGAATAATAACACAGTGCAACACTGGTCAGACAATAGAGTAGTGACTATACTGGGGCGTTAGTACTCCCTGAGATATGAAAAACCCTAACTGCGTTTTGAAAGTTCTGTTGGCGTTTTCGTTTTATCGACCTACGTGTTTTTTTCCTATAATGGATTTTTGGCAAAGTTGACTTCTTCAATTTTTGGTCCATAAATCACTTAGTATTGGTGATAGCGCATTGCTGTCTTGAGCAAAGTTGTTGGTAAAAGTCCAATAAATAAATTTTATTAACAAACTTTGCCCGAAAAATGAAGTTTTGTAAGTTCTTCAGGGCAAAATGTCGATTTTTTTGCCAATTTATTCAATTTTTCGACTCTAACTCGCAAAGTGATCGATTTTTTTGGCCATTTTCTTTGGCAATTTTGTAGCCAACGCAAAATTAAACAATTCGTCTTCAAATATCAATCTAAAAAAATCATGTTTTGGCTCAGATTGCCATTTTTATTGGATTTTTCGTCAAAATTATTACTTTTTTTAACATTTATTGAAAAAATGCGCTCATTTTTATATTCTATGCTATGTATTTGTCATAAACATGTTATTTTTATTCATTTTATTTGTTTTAATAGTTTTATGCAAGAAAAATGCACCAATTCAAGTGCAAATTAGGTCATTTTTTTGAAAAAACAAATATTTTAATACTATTTTGGCAAATGAGCTTTTTTTACGGGTGGTCCTGCTGCTTGCTCTGCACCTAATGCTAGCTCTTTTTCGAACCAATCGTCGTCGCCGTCCGAATCCGCAACAAAGTTGTCCAACGGATCGTTTTCTTCTGCGCCTCCTTCTGCGCCTGCTTCTGCGCCTCCTTCTGCGCCTTCAACTTCCATTGGTTCATCCTCTACCTCATATTCTTCGAAAAGCGTCTTAGACCACCAACAAATTTCCGCTAAAACTGCGTCCGGTGAATGCTTTCCTCTATACCTGAAGGAAAAAATACATTTTAAGAAACAAATTTTATCAGAAGAAAATGTCAATATAACTGAATTGTTACCTCATTTCAAATGGCAACGACGTTTGGTGAAATCGTTCACCTTGTTCATCCGATTCGGTTGCCAATTGAGGGGCGTAGAATTCCAAATGTTGGTGTAACAAGTGAATTTTCAAAGACATGTCACGTGGTTTGCATCGAACAGATTCAGCATTTCTCGAACTGAATCGCGGTAGTCATCTGTCCGATTTTTTCCCAAATATGATTGAATGACCTTTTTCACTGCAACCCAGGCTAGTCTCTGACGCGCCGTCAAAACGTTGTCGAATTTTTCGTCCTTCATCAGCTTCCGAATGTCTGGACCGTTGACCTCGCCTAACAGAAAATAGAACGAATATTTAAATTTGATAAATGGGAAGAATATAGCGAAAGACGAACAAATTAAATATACATCCGGCTTACCTTCACGTAATTTGCCTTCGCTGATTTTGTAATTGAAAAATTCACGCAGAAATTTCAAAACTTGGGCACCGTGTGCTGGATCATCTTTGTCGTTAACTACAGCTTTGATCAGATTCTTCACAATTCCAAGTTTGACATGAAGATAAGGCAGTTGAATACTTTCACGTGGCACAAGAGCCTTATTAACAACATTGAGCTCTCCGATTGTATTTGTTCCTCTATCTGGCCATGAATGCGTGCGATATTGGTTGCCTTTGTACCGTGTATCCCATTCACATAAATAGCACATGTTCTTCACATACCTTTCCTGGATGCCAGAGAGTATAGCCACCACCTTCAAATCGCAACATATGCGCCAGTTATGTTTCTGGTA